TGCTGTTGTGCTAGGGCTGTCAATCCCCCAAGACTTAGAATAGACCAAGATCTGTTACCTCTTTACAAATTTGCCAGGGAAATCAATCAAATCAGCTTAGTTTAAGTTGGGGGGAGGACTGCAACTGAAAATGGAACACCTTTTTTTTTTTTTTTTAGTTTGCCATGGGGTATGTGGCCTCCCTGGAGAGAGGCAGAACGAGAGAGGGAGAGAGAGAGAGAAATCTTCCCCTGGGGGAATGGCCACGCTGCAATCCCTTCTCCTCCATTCGCCTGTTGGGATTTGGGGCACACATACACACATGCCTGGCGTGATTTCTGAAACCTCCAGGTCTAGGACCGCATAGCTGCCATAATCTCTACGCTATCTGCTGGCCTGAAAATGGAGAGATTTTTGCTGTAGGGCATGTGCGCTTGCCGGAGAGACAGGGAGACAGAAAGCAGGAAGTCGCCCTCCTGGGGCTGGCCAGGCCACAATGCCTTCTCCTTCCTCTTGGAATCTGGGACACACACACACACACACACACGCTGGGCATGTTTAAAGCCACTGAGTCTGAGACTTGAACTGTTGTCGTTCACATGGGAGTTGAGTGTCTTTTTTTTTTTTTTTTGGAGAGGTTTTTGTTATAGGGCGCGTGCGTTCGCCAGACAGAGAGACATAGAGACAGAAAGCGAGAAATCATCCCCCAGGGGGGATGGTCACGCCGCAATCCCTTCTCCTCCATTCTCCTCTCGGGATCTTGGGCATGTACGCACACGCGCCCTGCATGAGTTTTAAGCCACCAGGTCCAGGACACAAACGGCGGTCAACTACCTGGGAGTCCAACGACATAGCCATTACGCTAACTGCTGGTTCCTGGGAGTTGAGTGTCTTAACCACTGTACCACCTACTGGTTCCAAAAATGGAACAGCTTTTTTTTTTTTTTAGACATATTTGTTTGTTTATTTGCTTATTGAGAGATTTTGGCTATAGGGTGCATGTGCTCTCTGGGGAGACAGAGGGACAGAAAGTGAGAAACCACCCCCAGGGGGAATAGCCATGCCACAATGCCTTCTCTATTCTCCTCCTGGGATTGTTAACGGATGGGAAAGTGTTGAGCTGCGTTGTGAAGTCCTTGGTTCTTTGGGTCCAGATCACTAAAATTAGAGTTCTGTCCCTAGGTGCAAAATGAAACCGCAACCACGAATGAAGTAGATAGAAAAGAAGGTTTAATAGAAAGAAAGGAAAGGAAAGGAAGAAAGTACACCCAAAAAGGTTGTTGGGCGGGTGGATTGCCAAGTGGCAACCGCACTTGGTACTAGTTAACCATTATTTTTATTACTAGAGGTCATGAATATTCATTAGTGGGAGGCCCCTTACGCTGTCTATGTTCTTCCTTTAAATTAGAATCCATACGCTCTTTTCCTGCACCTGCGCACCTTCCTCACAGGTAAAGAATGAGGAATTCGATCACCTAATTGCGCATGGTGCCCAATGCAAGCCAGGTTGCCCCAATTAGTCTATCGCCCTAATAGGAATTGGGGCATTGACCAAAACGCTTGCTTAGGTCTTTTTGATAAGAGAAAAATCTACAAATCATCCTGTGTACTTCCCTCAGGCCTCAAGGAAGGAAGATGGCAGATTGCCTCGCCCTCCTGGTGCCCGGAGCTAGAGGAGCCTTTCGCTTTTCTCTTAGGGCTGCCTGCTCACGGCTAACTGCCTACCACAGGATTCAGGACACGCACACACACATGCCTGGCATGATTTTCAAGCCTTCAGATCCAGGACTTGAACCGCGGTCACCACGTGGGAGTCCAGCAACATAACCATCACGCCGCCAGCTGGCTCCAGAAAATGGGACACTTTTAAGGTCAGGGGCCTGCTCACTCTTCAGGAGAGACACTAGCCACGCAGAGGTTCCAGGTCACAGACGCTTTCTCCTTGATGCCCCTAAAAGGATTGAAGGAAACGGAAAAGTCACTCCCTTGTGATGTCCCGGTGTCTTTCCGCTCTGCCCTGCGCCACCTGTGCACTCTCTCCTGACCCGCCCATGACCGGCATCTCTCGGTCGGGCACTTGCTGCCGTAGACACTGAGCCCTGCAGTGGGGTCCTGGCCAGGAGCTAGGTGGAGAGCTGCTGTTCTGTCTGCCTGGGAAGGCCATGGGGTAGAGGTCAGGACCGGCCTGTTGGAGAGAGGGCCCCAGCTCTGCCCGAGTGCCTGTCTGATCTTCTGCCGTCTGCCAGTCTGTCGCCGTGGTGTCAGGGCAGAAGGGAAGAAGGAGCCTGAGGCTGGCTTAATTCTGCAAAGAAGCCTGAGTGTAGAATGAAAGCTTCTGGAAGCAAACCCAGGGTCCATCACCGATCCCTAAGCATTTGCAGCTGGTTCCTCTACTGGAAACGCTGTTTCTCCTGTCAGTAAAGACAGCAACTTCATTCTTCTTTGTTTCTTAGTTCTCTGGGAAGTCCTCCTTACCCTCCAAGTCTAGGGGACAGCATGTTTGGGGCCACCAGAAAGGGAGAAAAAAAGAATGAGTTCAAGGAGAGCCCATTTCTGACTTGGGAGTGGGAAGGCCAGGGAGGCTTCATGGTGGATGTGGCTTTTATTTGTTTATTTAACAGCCATCTCATCCCTTCCTCTGATGGGCCCTAGAGAATCACTCGGACAATAAAAGATGGCAGACACTATAAGCCACCCCAACCGAAGGGAGGCCAGCTCTAGAGACTGAAAATGGGATATCCAGGCTCCTAGAAATGTCCGACCCGGGTCACAGAGCCTCTTTTCTGCCCTGGCGGCGGGTGCAGGAATCAGACTGTAGTTCGAAGACTGCCGGGCGTGGAGACGAGTAACCCGGGAAGCCACTTGGGCCTCCTTGCATCGTCCTGTGGCCCAGCGCACTGCTCTGGGTGCTCAACAGCCCACGTACATATTTCTCCGGAGGGACAAGCGGTTTGTGCCGACCTGAGGCTCCTCCGAGCGCCTTGGTATGGGTGAGGTCGTTGTCCAGCTTGTGGCAAGGCCCGGAGGCCCGGTGGGGAGAGGCTGCCCCACGTGGGGAGAGGCTGCCCCAC